CATAATCAAGACAAAAAATACATTAAACAAAAATAAATAATAACAGAATGTATTTCAACCGTACAATAACCAAAGATATATCCACAAGACGCAAGCCTCCTCTAAGGTCACTCTCTAATACATGGAAGCCAAAGTTAGCAACACTACAACAACCAAAGATACATCCACAGAGGGTACTAAATGACCTCTGGAGATCATTGTTAAGAATGGTAAAATAAAAAATAAAAGAAACCATGACCAGGTGAATTCCAATCAACTCGCTACAATCTATCCCTTACCCAAAAAAAAAATGGGTTGGTCAGTATGTTAATGTTTCTATTAAAATCGGATTGAGTTCAAGTTTAGAAGAAAAATCCGTATAAACCCAATCCAGGTATATTTTTATTTTAATTAAATATATGTATATATAATGTATATAAACATAATATATGGGTCGAATCTGGATTCATCAAAAATCCGGTGGGGGCGAAAAAAAAGTACATTTGATGAAACTGCACGAATACCGGAGCAGGTTCAGATTTTTTATATATAAAGTCGGGTTTGGTTCAACTACATGAAACTCACACAAAGCTCGACCTATTATCATTCCTAATCATAGTGACTGGTGAGATAATCATAATTAAAAATGACCAAGCAACCAAAAGGAAAGAAGATCATTGTTCTTAGAAATCAACAAAAAGCAAGTGATGAAAGGCTAAAATAGTTTAGATCATAAAAACTTCTCACATTAATAGGAAAATTTTAAAGAAATAAAAAAGAATAAGGGATTTCTTAAGATGAGACCTGAGAGTAAATCACTTCAAGAAAGAAGAACTCATATGTAACAGATAGAAATAACCGGGTCATATCAATTCCATGGCAAGAAAGAGTAACCCTAGTGGCAGAAATGTAATGACAATACTCCAGAGGATCTTGAACGATAAGATATTCGTTTTTAATGGCACCAACTACAACTATTGAAACACATGATGAGAATATATATCATGACACAGGATGCTAGTAAAAGGAATTACTTGTAAGTTTGAGGTACCCATTTCAAACGCCAAATGAAATTGGAGGACCTAAGATCTTCCATCAATAAAAAATAACAAAGATTTGGAAAAAAAAACAGTTGTTTATTAGCAAGTTATTCCTGATCCTATCACCGTATATGCAAAGAGTAAGGTTCCCTAAAATTGATTATAATACTGTATAATATATTTATTGATAATAAAGATAATATGAATCAATCAGAAACGTTACCAGTATTGACGGCTTCGAAATCCTTGCTTGAAAACCACTAGCGGTCTGCAGCAAAAACGAGAGAAGAAAGTTCTTTAGAACTAAAAGTATAAACACTTGTCTCAGATCAATCCAAGCATTGCACTCAAAATCTCAGACAATTATGTAATCCGAACTCAACAAACTCATCATATTCATATGCATATGCAAGTAGAAATGAACAAATTATTTATCATTTTTCTGCACTAGAACAGTCGCATAATTGACAAATCCAAATTCGACAAACTCATCACATCCACATACACGTAGGATTGAACAAATTGTTTATCCTTTTCTTGAAGAAATTACAAAGCATGTTTTATTAGGAAATTAACCTAATTATAATGAACAATTTTATATAATACCTTCTTAGGTTGAGAGGTCCCTCTCCAGGCGAGCCATCTCCGCCTCGAATACAAGTGGTGAGACACTTGACAGTACAGGACTCAGCTTTCCTAGATTTAGGACGTTGAATCCTTGGCTTGCGGCAATCCTTGACTTCTGCACATTCACCAGAAAGCGTTTGCGGTATATTAGACAAAGTCTCATCATCCGGCGGTGCGGCCGCGGCTGCGGCTGAGGCTATGACCACTGCAGCGGCAAAGATGCTGGTAGCTACGAGGCTGCAGTTCTTGCTGGCTCTAGTAAGACAAGCGGTGCTTCTAGTGATGTTGTCGAGACGAACAGGATAGAGTGAGGTACTATTGTAGAAGGATTGAATTAGCATTTTATGGCCGGTTGAATCTGCTGTGTGTGTACCTAGTTCATTTTCAAGCAGAGTTTCAGAGCTTGTTTCGTCTTCTCCTTATCTATCCATAAGGGTTTGGATTGACGGATGGTGATCCTGCGGTTCGCTCCTTGCTCACTTGTTATACTCTGTATCCATCCAAAATTCCACCTGGAATCGAAGCTTGTGTGGTCTCTAATCATTTTGAAAGAGAGAGAAGAAGACATTGCTCTTTTCCACAGAACCTCAGGGAATAATTTGGTTCGTCTTTACACGAATCAAACATTATCTATTAATCAAGCTTCAACTGGATATGAAATCAATTCATAAATAATTTAATATTCTAATTTTTGTAAATAAGTAATCAAACAATTTAATTAATTATTTTAAATAATTTTGCAAAAATGAAACAAGTTG